GGCGGCGCGGGAGGCCTGAGGGAGGCGGGCCGGGGCGGGCCGGGGGCCCCCAACCGTCGCGGTGATTTGCATATTCATGAGTCTGAGCGCGGCCAGCCGGCCGGGCGAGCCTCGGAGACGTAATGAATTATTCATAAGCAGCGTCCGCCCCGCCCAGGGAGGCCTCGTGGATTATTCATGAACCCGAAGGGGCGGGCTGGGCCGGAAAAGTCCGTTGAGTCCTGGGGAGAGCAAGGCGCTAACCAGACGAGGTGAGCGCCGTCCAAATGCGAGATCTCTGGAGGAAAGAGCGCGTGGGGTGTAGTTCGTTCGTTTTTTTTTTTTCTTTTTACTTGATACTTTCAGTTTAATTTGTAAGTATTTTTGCGGGGGTCAAAATATTTTGAAGAGAAGGGGAAAAACCCCCGAGGCTGAAGACGGGGTGGGGGCTGCTGTAGATACGTACTCCCTTTGTCCCCCAATTTTACACATACCACCGACCCACCCACCCAACCGACAAATAGAACAAAAACTAGACAGCTTTCAGAATCCGTTTTGAGAAAATGGAAGGCAGGGGACTCAGCTCAGTGGCACCGCTCCTGCCTCCAAGTGCAAGACCCTGAGTTTGATCCCCGGTCTCAGATAGGGGCGGGGCGAGAAAATGGAAGAATCAATCTTGGCGAGAGAGCAGCAGCCGTGATTAGCTGCCAAGAGGTTTGTCAGGCCGACCTCTGGGCGCTGGAAAGAGTTGTACGTAGAGCTTTGGGGGTTTATATTACCTGTCCCCAGCCATAATCAAGGCCTGGTACAGGCCGAGCCATGAGAGAGGTGGCCACGAGTCCCCCTAGGATGACGTGGGTTCCTCTTTTACCTTGTGAAGGATTTGCCATTTAATCTCCGTGGACTTTAGTTCTCCAAATATTACAGGGCAGGGAGTGTCTTGAACCTCAAGATTAGCTAATCACCCCATGTTCAGGCATTGCATGGGCTGTGCCATACATCTTTTGCTATTTGGTGAAAATGAAGTTTTAAATCTCATTAGGATGATAATCTGATTTCTTCTCCATTGGACCAGAAATCTCTTGAGATGGGAACCATATTTTACATTTTATAATCCTGCACAATGCCTGGCACATTGCAGTCGCCTGGTAAATGTTGAATGAACGAATCATTGAATTAGCATGAAAAAGATATTTAAAAATCAAAAGAGCATGAACAGATACCCAATTAATACAGTGGAAACCACTTACCCTGAGAGAGCACAGAGTAGTGGAATTATCAGGGCCAAATGGAATTTGTTAAAGCAGTGAATAATAATTTATTGAAGCAAGCTCTGTGAAAGGTCTAAGTAACAGGGGAACTTTGGCAAATGAAATTCCTTGCTGAGCTTCACTTTCTTTTGTAGTTTGATGTTTTACATTTAAATCAGAGATCCATTATGAATTAATATTTATATGGCATGACATGTAGGTTGAGACTATTTCCTTTCTTTTCCTTTATCTCTCCCTCTTTTCCCCTCTCCCCTCTCGTTCCAGGTAGGACTTGTTGAAAAGACCATTCTTCCCCTGAAGGGGTTGGATTAGTAGTAGAGGGTATCTCTGCTCCTTCTAGCTTTCTGAATCTTTTGAACCCATTTATGCTGATATACACTGTCTGAGCAGTCACCTTTCCTATCATACATGTGTAAGGAAGGTCATTTCAGAATCCAGCTATTGAATATTCACTTGTAGAAATGGAATGTTCTTGTAAAAATATGGTTTGGGAAGATGGGCAGAGAGCCATAGTAAGTGAAAAACGATTGTCTTTGGGCAAACAAAGACTCTGGCTCTGGCTTCACTTGCCTCCCCCACCAGGTAGAAAAGGTATTTTTAGGTCTTAAGAAAACAGCATCCAGTTAATCTTTATCTGAATCTTGCATTCATACATAGATGGGGTTTTTAAAAAGTAGGTATGCCACCATTTAAAACAGAACATTTGAGATATAAGTCAAGAGGTGAGCCTGGAATGATTTTTTTTTTTCAGAAAGGAGATGGAAATCTTGCCTCCTTTCAGAATGATCATAATCCTTGTCACAGTGTCACAGAGAGGATATATCAAACATAAGAGGGATATTGATGCCCTCTGAAGTTTCAGGTGTTTGTGGATTCGATATGCAAGTAAATAAGCAAAAGACATTTGAAAGTGAGAGTTCTATTCTTAAAATCCATAGTGATGAAAGCTCTTCTAGGTTTTAGATTTTTGAATCAGAACAAGCTTTTTAAAAAAATGTATCAAAGCTGTTCTCTGAGAGTGCAAGATCTCTGGAGTCGTATCTCCTGGGGCCCTCTGCTGGTGAGCTTTCAAAATTAAGCAGGCTTTGTACTTGAATAGGAGACCTCCTCAAAACAGTTGCTCAAAGGGAAAAACAGTAGCAACAGAATAATTAGGTGGAAATCAGCCTTGTGATTTTGAAAAACAATTTGAGTCTTTTTGCCTTCAGAGGTGGAAAAGAGGGAAAAACAGTAGCAACAGAATAATTAGAGGTGGAAATCAGCCTTGTGATTTTGAAAAACAATTTGAGTCTTTTTGCCTTCAGAGGTGGAAATCAGCCTTGTGATTTTGAAAAACAATTTGAGTCTTTTTGCCTTCCTAAGGGAGCTCAGTCTGGAACAGCAGAAAGAGATCCTACCATGGTTGGGAACAAGCAAACAAGTTAGCCCAACAACTAGAGAGGCATTTGTAGGGCATCATGTTAGATGAGTCGAAAGAGAGCTTTATTTTGGAGAGTCAGTCTAGAAAAACTGTTGCATTGTGAGTTAAACCTTGCATTTTTAAGTGTTAGTTCTGCTGCTTAATGGCTGATTGACCCTAGGTAAATCAGTGTTTTCTCTGGTTTCCTCATCTAGGAAATTAGATATTTGGACTAGATGACATTTACAGTTCATCTTTCTTCTAAAATTTTGTGATTTTTTTTTCTAGATCCTTAATACTTCTTTGTTTCTGTGGAATTAATGGAGTACTTCTCCATTAATTCAGCAAATAGTTATTCAACACCTACTTTATTCCAGCACTGTGATGATGCTGAGGATTCAAGAATGAGCTAAACAAGGCTGGGGATTTAGCTCAGTGGTGCTGCTGCCTGCCTTGCAAGTGCAAGGTCTGGGTACCAAAAAAAAAAAAAGCACTAAACAAGAAACAAAAAGTCATATATGATTCAATTGCTATAAGCATCCAAAGTAAGCAAATCTATAGAGATTAAAAGTAGATTAATAGTTGCCAAGGGTTGAGGGAAGGAGAGAATGGGAGTGAATGCTAATGGGCTTCGGTTTTTTGTTTTGTTTCGTTTTTTAGGGGTGATAAAAATGTTCTGCAATTAGAGAGTGGTAATCGTTTCATAACTTTGCGAATATACCAAAGCTTTCTAAATTGCACCTTAAGGAAACTTTTTAAAGATAGAGAATGAGATAGATAGATTCACTTTTGCCTTCAGGTTAACTCAAAGTGCATGGGTGGACACATAGAGGCAACTTTGATACAGATTTGGGCATGTAATCTGGACTTGGTAGTGGGGATAGGGAATAAGGAAATCTCTCCTTGAGAAAATCCTATAAAGCCATGTCCAGGAGATGAGTAGGAATAAAGAATAAAAGAGGGCGATTGAGACAGAGGGAATATTGCCAAAATCTGAAAGCCTGGGAGAACACAGTCCATTGGGGTGATTAAACTTGATAAGAATAACTAGTGCACACAATTGCAAAGGAAGATGATGAGGCTAAGGAGGCATGAGCCAACTCTTGAAGCCATGGCAAGGAATCTTGATTTTATTGTGAGGGCAGTGGGGAGTCATTGAAGTGTTTCAATCTTGGGAATAATACATAATTAAGTTTGCAGTTTAAAAAGAAAGCTCTGGTTGCAACACAAAGAACAAACGGAGAAGGGTAAGACCACTGACAGGCAGAATGGTGGTTGCAGTAGACCAGGTGAAAGATGTGGCTGGTGTAATCTAAAATAGCGATAACTGTGGATACAGAAGGAGTGGACACACAATCTGGAACTATCAATATGATTGGACAGGGAAATAAAGCAGAGGTCAGTGTTGACATGTCTTCGGCTTAAGTGATTAGGTGTTTAGGACTTTTTTTTTTTTTTTTTTTGAGACAGGGTCTCACTACATAGTTGAGACTGACCTGGAACTCACTACGTAGCCCAGGCTGTTCTCAAAGTCACAGTGATCCTCTTGCCTCAACCTCCCAAGTGCTGGGATTACAGGAATGCGCCACCATGCCTGGCGCAATTAGGTGTTTTGATAGTCATTCACTTATTTAATGAAGAGAAATACATATTTGGGGGAAATAATCACATTTGGATGTACTGAGATCATCAAACTAGATCTGTCTTGTGTACCAGCAACTCCCGGAGTAACCTGGAAAGATAGATAGAAGATAGATAGATAGATAGATAGATAGATAGATAGATAGATAGATATCACTAGACCACAAATAATAACTGAAACAGTGGGAGTGTATTTTTTTAATCCAGGGAGTGTGTTTATTTATTTATATATTTTTGGTACTGGGGATTGAACATGGGTCCTTGCACTTGTGGGGCAGGGGGAGGGCAGGGAAAAACCCCGGCCCCAGGGAGCGTGTTCAAACAAACAAACAAACAAACAAAAAGAGCCCCTGGGACAGAATCTTGAATTAACACCAAAATGGCAGGGGCAAAAAATGACAGAGGAAATCAAGTCTGAAGAGGACTGTGAGGAGGAGCAACTGGGAGACTAGAGGGAAATCAGGAGATTGAACATTAATATAAGATTTTTTTCATTTATTTATTTGTTTATGTGCTACTGGGAATTGAACCCAGGCTTTTGTATGGAGCTACATCCCCAGTCTTAATTTTTTTTTTTTTAATTTTGAGACAGTGCCTCACTAAGTTGTTAAATTGTCCAGGCTGGGCTCGAACTTGCAATCCTCCTGCCTCAGCTTCCCAAAGTGCTAGAATTATAGGCGTGCAGCACCACACCAGGCTAATATAAGAGTTTTTAAAAGCAAACATGCTTTATTATATATAACAAAATGTGTATTAGAAAATGTTCCAAGTACTTTACAAATATGATTCATTTAATCATTGAAATAACCCTAGGAGGTAGATATAATTATCATCTCTATCTTATAAATAGGGAAACTAAGGCACACAGCTTGCACAATGTCATGTGATCCTAGGCTTCAGAAGAGTCCACATTCTTGACTGCAGTGCTATGGTGCCTCTCCAGATAAACACATGTTTGGATAAACACTGAACAAGCCCTGAAAAGTGGTTCAAAACTGGATCTATTGTTTTCATTTTGCCAAAAAGGAGACTAAGTCCCAGAAAAGTAATTTGCCCAGAATCATACAACTACTAGGTAGTGATGTCAGAATTTGAACTCGGTTACTTAATTCCAAAGCCTCTTTGTACTGGGTTATATTGTGATTATTTTTCTCTGTATACATTTGTGTGCATAAAATGTAATTTTACTTATCTTGTAAATACTAATTCCTAGAGGGTATACCAAATGCTAACAGAACCTACCTCGTACCCTCTCTCAAAAGCAAATGCGTTGGATGTCTCAGAGTTTTCAGTTGCTAATATCAATTTAATCCAGGCCACTCATACATTCTAAAAATATAGGTGTGGTAATGCATTGTGTTCTAATTGACTGATTCTATTTTCAGGGCTTGAATCTCTAGACATGCCATCAGAATAGCTTATGATCATAGAGAAGTAACAACGATAAAACCCCACTAACATAGAAAGCTATTTAAAAATCATTATTTCCCTATTTATTGTCTCTAAAAGTAATAACTACCCCAGTAGGAGGTCATGGTTTAATGGTCTAGAACTAGAGCTTGAACTCGTATAACTACTTTTCCCCTCTTCCTCATTTTACTCTTGAAATTTAAAGGAGGCAACAGAGCTGTTGAATCAGATTTAAAGGTTATTCTCTAAAGTAAAAAAAAAGGTACTTTGGTATCTTTAAGGACCGAAGGAAAAGTAAGTAGTTTTCACTCTCATATAAAATATTGCGATAGAGTGTCCCCTAGTGCTGTGCTGAAGTAATTCGAGAGAAATTAAATATTACTTATTTATAATCTCTATCACCACCTTGTGGCAGTGTCCTCAAGTAATTTGACTCTCTTTTATCGGCAAAAATCTTCCAGAAACTTGCATCAGTAGCTAACAGAACAGGTTATATTCTATCCTGCAAATTCCATTAAGAATGGAATTGCTTTAAATAGGTTCTTCTACAGGTATTTTGGTGAGAATTCCATAAAAACCTTGAAAAGAAGCCCCAACTGAAATTAAATTAATTCGTTTAAAAAGCAAAGGAAAGGCTGGGCATGGTGGCACATGCCTGTAATCCCAGCACTCGGGAGGCTGAGGCAGGAGGATCACTGTGAGTTTGAGACCAACCTGGGGTACATAGCGAGTTCCAGGTCAGTCTCAATTACATAGTGAGACCCTGTCTCAAAAAAAAAATAAAACAAAAAAAACCCCAAACAAACAAATAAATAAACAAATAAATATAAGAAAAGGAAAAACTTGCCTTTCTTTTTTCGTTTCTTTCCTTTTGAGATAGGGTCTCACTATATAGTTCAGAATAGATTTGAATTCACTGTGTAGCCCAGGCTAGCTTTGAACTTATGATGATCCTCCTCCCTTGGCCTCCTGAGTGGGGGATTACATGTGCCATCACACCTAGCTGGTTACTTTTTTACCTGTGGCAAACTATATGTAACATAAAACTCATCATTTTAGCCATTAGAAGTGTACAATTTAATTTAGTGGTTTCAAGCACATTCACCATCACCATTATACATTTTTCCAAACTTTTTCATCATTTCAAATGGAAGCTGCACCCATTAAGTTCCCCATTCCTTCTACTTCTTTATCCTCTGACAACCTTCATGTTATTTCCTGTCTTTATGAATTTGCCTACTGTACGTATCTCATATGTGAAATCCTACAACATTCATCCCTTCATGTTTGGCTTTTTTATTTAGCACAGTGTTTTCAAGGTTCATTTCTATCAAAATTTCATTCTAAAAATTGGATAATATTTTCTCGTACCGGCCACATTTTGTTTACTCATTCATCTACTTTTTAAAAAAATTTTTGAGACCCAGGCTGTCCTTGAACTCCTAGGCTCACGTGCTTCTCTTGACTCACCTTCCCCAGTAGCTGTGACTGCTACCACCATACCCACTCATCTGTTGATAGGCATTTGGGTTGCTTGCATCTTTTGGTTATTGTGATAATGCTGCAATAAATACTAAGGTACAAGTATCTGAGTCTCTGCTTTCTTTCTTTTTTCTTTGTTTTGCTTTGTATCTAGAATTGGAATTTATGGGTACCATGGTAACTTTGTTTAGTGTTTTTAAGAAATGTCATACTGCTTTCCACAATGGCTAGATTATTTTATATTTCTTCCAGCAGTGGATAAGGGTTATAATTTCTCCACATCTTCTTAACATTTATTCTTTTGCATTTTTTTGTCAGTGGTTTTTTATTTTTTTTTTTTTGGTACCAGGGATCAAACTGTGGACCCTGTGCTTGAACAGCAGGCGGTGGAGCCACTGACGTAAATCCCAGGCCCTCTTTCACATTTTTTTGGAGTGGTCATGCTGATGAGTATGAACTGTACATTAACTTTTAAGGTTTTGAATTTGCAAATAATTTACACCTGAATTTAATTCTGGAAATGTTTTGGGGTCCTTGCAATATACAGAGCACCGTTACATTCTGGGGGAATAACAAAGATATATTGTTAATATATATTGTAAGATATATTGTTATGTCTTGAAGTGACTTATGCTTTATTTTTCTCTTCCTAACGTATTTATGAATGATCAAATGATCTTACGGTTTTCATTAGGTCCTTGAAAAAAATTAATCCAGAGACCTTATGCCAGATATATAGAAAATGGGTAGTGGAATTTAAATATTACTAAACTGGGCCAGGGCTTTAGCTCAGTGGTTGTGCTGCCTGCTTCGGAAGTGCAAGGTCCCAAGTTCGATCCCCAGTACCAAAACAAAAACAAAAACAAAATATTATTAAACTTAGTTACCAAAACAGTCAGCTTACATTGTTCTCTTTTGGAAAATTCACATCAAGGATTTTTCCAACTCAGACTCACTTATCGTTTAGATAGGGCCTGATAGGACTATTTTAGCGTTCATTTTTCCTTTGTGTCTTCAAAACTGAGCTTGGTAAATTTTTCTCTAAATTGAACACTGTGGGGAATAATTCATACTTAATTGTTTTTCTAGTTTCTTGTGTGTTTTTAGAAGTTTTTAGTTTCACTTTTGGGCAGAGCAATATAGGAAGTACTATGTTTGGCAAGATCTCTAATTATCACTATTTTTAACAGATTATATTTGTTGAAAGAATCCTGAACCATTTCTACAATGTCCACTTTTCAACTGTCTCGCTCCGTCAGAAAACAAAAGGAGCCTAAGGTATTTGTTAAGAATTAAAAGGAAAATCAATGATCATTGATTTAGTGAGTTATTCAGAATCATGACTTTAATTTTTTTAGCAGCAGTCTTATCAGTTAATTGGCACATAATATTCTTGAAGAGTATGTTTCTACATTTTAAATGCTTAATGGATGGATATTCAGAAAATTAAAATAAATCACAAAGTTGCTTACTTCATGTCTATATATTTAGACCTGGAGTAGAAGAAACCAGAAACAAAAAGACAAAGCGAATAGTTCTCTGTTATAGCTTTACTTTCTGAAACAATTAGAAAACTTGTGTTGTACATGGTGATGTAATTACAAGAACTAAAGGGGCGTTGTGGCTTGTGTTTAGATGTCCCCTCAAAGCCCCATATAGTTTTTCAGCGGTGGCTGGATCTAAAGTGTGTGACTGATTCATGGTACAGTGCTAAGATTAAGGATGCTAGGATTGAGGGTAGGTGATGACTAAATCAGTCCACTGACTGGTTTGGCACTGCTCCAATCCCGGTAGCCTAGACAGAATATAAAAGGGGCAGAAAAAAGATGCTTGCTTTGCTACCTTCTGCCCACTATGAACTGTTTCCCCTCTGTGGTGCCATCTGCCATGCCACCCTGCCTTGGAGCCAGCTGAATATGGACTGAAACTCAATAAAATGAGCTAACTAAATCTTTCCTCCCTTAACTTGTGCATTAGGAACCCAGGGGAATGTTAGTCAGCATTCTGTAACTGAGACAAAATCCCCACCACCACTACCAGGGACTGAACTCAGAACCTCACACTTGCCAGGCAGGTGCCAGCACCACTGAGCTAAATCCCCAGCCGCAAAATTCTTGAGATAATCAATTTAAAAGGATGAAGAATTTATTTTGGCTCATAGTTTCAGAGGTTTCAGTCCAGAGTTGGTTGGCACCATTTGATTGGGGCCTGTGGCAGAACAGAACACCATGGCAGGGTGTCTTAGTCATTTTTCTCCTTGCTGAGACACAATACTCAACACCTCCAACTTAAAGGAGAAAAGATTTATTTTGGCTCACAGTTTTAGAAGTTTCAGCCCGTGGTCTGCCAAAGAAGAAAGCTGCTTATCTCACGGTGACTGGGAAGAAGAGTGTTTTAAGTGAGGAGTCAGGAAGGGGAGATACACCCTCCCAAGTCATGCACATAGTGACGCACTCTTCCAAGCAGACCCCACCTCCTAAGAGCAAGTCAGCTGTACTATCTCATAACCCAATCACTTTTGAAAAGTCCCACATATGAGCACATGAAGCCTTGAAGGGACATCTAAATATAACCTATAACACAGGGAATGTGTAGTAGAGCAAAGATGGTCACTTCATTGCAGCTGGGAAACAGGGTCCCAATATGCCCTTTAATAGCACTCCCCAAGTGACCTTACTTCCTTTTGGAAGACTCCACCTTCTAGAAGTTGCAACACTTCCCAATAGTGATCAAGTGATCCCAATGGTGATCAAGCCTTTAATACATGGCCTTTTGGAGGACATTTAAAATCTAAACCATAACAGGGAGCATGCCAGGATCAGGCAATCATTGGATTCACCCAGGCAAGTTTAGCTTCTCCCAGGGCATTAATGCATCATTTTGTTTATTCATTGAGATACAATATTATATAATATGTATGTAATATTGTGTTGTATTCTGTGATAATATTTAAAAAGATCTTCATCTCCCAGAAGTTTATAATGTAGTTAGGGAAATAAGATTTATAGGAATTAAATCACTATACCTATATTTATATATATGTGAAAAAGAATATGACAAGTCAAATTGTAGGAATTTAGAGATTTAGTATAGACTGCAATGGTTTGTATATTTCTCATGAAGAAGATGGACTCAAGCTGGACTTTGAATGATGAAAGGACAAAAAAAAAAGATGAAATTCTCTCCTTTATCCACAAGGCAAATTCTAGACAGAGGAGAGAGAATTTCATGAGGGTAGCATAGCCTATGCCTTGGCTCAGAATAAGAAACCAGCATGGCATATTTCAGAAAATAACAAAGAACCCTTTCTTAGTAGAGTGGAGAGCTTATCATGTTGGAAAGAAGGAAATAAAGTTGGATAAGAACTCTGGGAACAGATTACTCTGGACCTTAAAAGCTAAGCTAAGGAATTTATGCTTTATTCTGTAGTTAATGGAAAGTCAGAGGATTTGATCAGAACAGTAAGTAAAATAATTGTTTTAGGAGTATTAAATTATACCAGATAGAAAAGATTGAAGTTGAAGGAGAAATAGGGCAGAGAGAAAGCAGTCATCTTTCTGGCTTGATTTCAGTATCCCGTACTCACTCACAAAGCAGACTGTTGATCTCATTTGTTTTCCTAAGTGTGCTTCCTTACCAGGACAAAATGATGAGCTGTGTATTTGAATTGCAATCAGCTTAGCAGTTATTTTTCTCATTGTAAATTAACAAACTGACCTTTTGATGCAACCAAATCTTTGTTGTTTGGACTATATGACCTACCTTTCCCGGTAAATTTTAAGTGACTGTGTGATTTTGTTATTTAGTACCAAAAACACTAGTAGTGATTATGGAAGCCAACATTTATTCAGCACTTAACTATGGTCCAGGCCTTGTTCCAAGGGCTTTAAGTTATTATGTCAATTAAACCTTGCGATAAGGAAGAGACCAAAGCTCAGAGAAGTAAAATAATTTGCCCAAGGTCATGTAACTTGACAGCTGAACTCTCAAACATCACTAAGGCTCTAGCACAATATATTATTATTATTATTTTTCTAGGCCAGCATTACTTATTTTCCCTTAGCACTCTTAAAACTTCTGTGTTTACTTTTTGTTTTTGGTGCTGGGGATCAAACTTGGGACCTTGCACTTGTGCGGCAGGAGCCGGAGACACTGAGCTAAAGCCCTGGTGGTACTCTTAGAACTTTAGCTTCATCAAGTAACAGGTCAGACTTACAGAACAAGCTTTTCCCAAGTTTAACCATTTTACGAAATATTGTCATGGTCTAGGGTATTTAAATCCCAATTTCTAAACCAGTTACAGAGTTGTATCTTCTTAGGTGCTAATTGGAATCAAACAACACAGACACTGGTAACATAATCAAGACAGCATTTACCATTTCTATAGTGTCCTGTGAAACACCGCGTTCCCAAAGGATTTCTTCCTGAGAGATGTTTGAGTGTCATCCTTTCCAAAACAACCTGTCAAATAGCTCTGATTCTTGGCTCAAAATGAGGAGCGTCTCATTCAAGGAACCATTTAATATTGAGCTACTATTCTCAGCCATCAACAAATTCAACTTGCTGTGCTCCACACCTGACTTAGTTTTAGTTTCACCAGCATTTCCTATTTGCAAAAGACAAACTTCCGAACTCCTTTTAAATTCCCATCATGACCTGGGGGCCTGAGGAAGAGAAATGGGATTTTTGGGGATTCTGGAAAGGGCAGAGACTTACTTTTGCTGCCATAAAGGAGAAAAAAAACAAGTTCTTTCCTGTTCTGCTTATGAAAATACTTGTAGGCTAAGACCAGCAAATTCTGGTCCGAAATTCTATTACACTATTTTCAATACATTCAGATTTATATTACTCTTTACTTTCTTCTCCCTCAGTAGCACAATATATTATTGAAATAATTTTATATTACTGCTTTCTATTTTCAATCTATGGTATTTTCATGTTTTAGACATTTATGAAACATCAATTATAACCCTTAATATGTTAGACTTGCTGAGCTGAGAAAAAAATCATCCCTAGAGTAACAAAACTGTAGAGGCGGTTCCCAATTTCCTTACTATGAATGGCCATTAGGAGAGCTGGGCGTGGTGGCACACCCCTGTAATCCCAGCACCTGGGAGGCTGAAGCAGGAGGATCACTGTGAGTTCCAGACCAGCCCAGGCTACACAGTGAGTTCCAGGGCAGTCTGAACTGCATAGTGAGACCCTGTCTCAAAAAAAAAAAAAAAAAAAAAAGGCCATTTGGATGTTATAGTTAAAGTAAATGTCTTCATACTTTCAAGTTAGTTTTGCAAACAGGTTATTGCCTCTATGTTTTGTTTTGTTTTTTGGATACTGGGGATTGAAATTGCCTCTATGTTTTGAAATGTTTTCAATAAGTAACTATAGGTATACCATGTCAGAATTTCCAAGTTGTCCAAAATAACCTTAATTCCTTAGGATTTAAAGCATTTTTTTTTTTTTTGAGACAGGGTCTTGTTGTGTATTCCAGACTGGCCTTGAACTCATGCTGATTCTCCTTCCTCAGCCTCCTACGCGCTGAGATTATAATTACGCCACCATGCCTGGCTCCAAAAAAAAAAAAGCCTTTTTTTTTTCAAAAGTTTACATGCACACACCCCAATCCATCATATGTGCAAGAGTAATAATATTATTATGTACCCTTTCAACAACTGAGTATAAGATTTGACAAAAGGATAAAGTGATAATTAATTGCCACTATATAGTATACCAATGAAGAGGCATTCATATATAGCACAGTCATGCCCAGAATGTCAGAAAGATATTCTAGAACAAAAATCTATAGATTTAGAAGAGCTTTTTTGGAAGTTTTTCATTTAAAGACATATTTGTGATTAGTACTTGCTCTAAATAGAATTATTAAAACTTCAGCGGTTGAACTGTGTAGCGTAGTGAAAGATCTATGTCACTTGCTATCTCTGTGATCTGCCAAATCATTTACCTTTCTTTTTGGTATTTGTGATATGAGTTTATTGTAGTAGATGAGTTCTAAAGTCCTTCCAGTTTTAAAATGCTGTACAAACCTACTTCCCTCTTTCCTTTCTTCCTCTTCCTCCCCTGCTCCCTTCTCTTTTTCTTTCTTTTTGCACTAGGTTGAACCTAGGGAGTGCCTAACTACACTCCCAACCCTTTTTGTTTTTTAAATTTTGAGACAGGGTCTCATTAAATTGCCCAGGCTAATCTCAAACTGGGCAATTCTCCCATCTAAGCCTCGTGCCTTCGCTGACAAGCTGCGTTATGGTCCTGTGCCACTGTGCCTG